TGGTCCTGCTGGCCACACTGTTGCTGGTACAGGGGACAGTCTGGTCCTGCTGGCCACACTGTTGGTGGTACAGGCTGATCAGGACACCCTTGGCCTTCTTGCCTACCTGGGCCCACTGCTGGCTCTTGTCCAGCTGCTGTCAAACCAGCACTCCCAGGTCCTCTTCCACCAGGCAGCTTTCCAGCCTTTCTTCCCCAAGCCTGTAGTGCTGCAGGGCTTGTTGTGACCCAGGTGCAGGACCCAGCACTTGGCCTTGTTGAGCCCCTTGGAGCTGGCTTGGCCCATTGATCCAGCCTGTCTGGATCTCACTGCAGAGCCTTCCTGCTCTCTCAGCATCCTACCCAGCTTGGTGCTGTGCAGTACATTCTGTTTCCTCCTGCAACTCTCATTCTAAGCCCATTCCAGTTAAGTGATTAGAAGTAGCAGTTTCTGTGCTGCCTTATTGTTATAGTGGTGTTGAGCAGTTGAAGGTACTTGAATGGCAGCATCTCCCAGATGAAGCCCAGCATCTGGGCACAAGCAGTTTGAAATGGGAGTTGCTTGTTTGGATGTTAGCCTCATGTTTGTTCTCAGCCATTAAATTTTATACAGGATTGCACATGATATTTTATTTACCCTAGTGAAACCCATTTAATGTTCTCATAATCAATTTTTTGGTCAGAATTGTTCTCTTCTGAGTCAGAATGCCTTGGCACTCAAATACATGGTTGTGTGTGCATTTTGTGGGAAAAGTGTATATTACCAATATTGAAGGACATCAGAAGATGAGAAATTCTAAATTTAACTACCCTGTTGCCTTCATTCTCCACAGACAAGCCCTCCTAACAACAGCATCCCAAACTTTTGCTTTAAATTGTAAATTATGACTGCAGAGAAACAAATACAAAGTTGTAGCTGGTGTGGCTTAAGAATTATGATGAAAGCAGTGAAACCATGATTAAAACTGTCATTCTAACAAGGTAGAAGCTGTTCCCATTTGAGATAAATTCTTAAATTCTTCAAGGAAAATAAAAAAGGCATTAAATTTGGGAGCATAAAGCTCTGTGTGTAAGGAATAAACTGTAACTAAGCATTCATTCATAATGCATGAATGCATGTGAATGGCTCTGCTGAATTATTTAAGTTTTGTAACTCTTGTGTTCAAAGTAATGCTTGTTTCTCACTTTAAAAGTGATCCCTCTTCTGTGCGATTTAAAGCAGATCAAAACTTATTTTATTGGTTTTATCTGTGTTCAACCAGAACAAGACTTAAATTTATCATTCATATTTTTGGATCATAGCAATATATTTTTTGAAATTACTTATTTTTTCCCCCTACTGTGGGAAAATAGTGTATCATGATATCTGCATGTCTGCACCATTCCTCCAGGCCCTCTAAAAATTCTTTTTTGGTATCAGGTACTCCTGCTTGGTTGAAGAGCTGCTATAAAACCTGTATTATGTAGTATTTTCAAATCCCTTTATGCCAAGTAGTTCTGTTTATTTCTAAGTGTATTTAACTTGTATGTGCAAAAAAGATATTAAGAGTACAAAACATTCTCTTCTATTTGGAATAGAATATTATACCACTTTAATTGCATGTATATATAGTAGTACCTTTTTATGCAAAACCATCTCAAAGTGCTTTATAAATCTCCTCAAAGATTCTAACTCTTTTTCATAGAAAAGAAAATTTTTATTGCTCATGTTTTTAAGTTATGGATGAAGGCAAGGCACTGATTAAATATAGAGTAAATACACTACCACCTAAGTAAAATTTAGATGAGATTATAGAATTATGCTCCACAGACTTCCAGGTGGAGTCAGAAGGAAAAAGAATATGTACATTAAAACAAGTGGGAAAGATGTGGAAACACTTGACAGGTTGTTTGGGTTCCTCACCACATAGCTAGCATAAAAAATCATCAGCTTTTCATTTCGAGGAAAGATTAAATAAAATTAAGAAAGGGTAGTTATTTCTTACACTGAAGGAAAGACTTTCTGGAAAGAAATAAACATTCCATGTAGAAATAATCCTAAGCAATAACAAAAGGTCTTTCTCCATATAGCTGGTATAAACTAGCATGGGCCTGCTGGAGCTATTATACCTTCAGTGATTTAAATTTGCATACAATCTGCCTTACATAATATAAGGACACTTGTGGAAGATGAAACTTCCACAATTAGGGAGCTGATGTGATACCAGGTCTCACCTGGACTCACAGGGCTCAGGTGAAGTTCACATGCAGGTAATGGATGTAGGGGTGAATGTAAACAACTGGAAATATATATCCAAAATAAGTGATTGGAGAGAAGTAATTTTGTGGCAGAACTGACTACTCTTAATGTAAATCCATTCTTAGTCTCTGTAGTGTACTGTTATTTGAAATCTGAAATGAAATACATGGGGTTAATGTTTTTTGCTCTAGTGGCCCTGTTGGTGTGAGGAATTTATCCAGCTGGTTCTGACCCATGGGACTGTAGTATGTTCCTCAGATAGGAGTTTTAATCTGCTAGTCAGATTGTTTCCTAAATCCTTTTCCTTTAACTGATAACATTAATTTAATGATTACGTATGTGTGTGTATATACACATATGCATATGTATGTGTGTATATGTATATATGTGTATTTATATATTTGAGACTATTATTCCGATGACTTGTTTTCAAGCAGTATTTTACAATCAAAAGAAAATACACTGTGCTGCATTCAAAATAGAATGTGTAATGATTGTGTTGAGTATGCTTTCCAGAAAAAGATGGAGGTGGATCTGCTATTGTGGCATGTTTACTATTTCAGCCTATAAAAACAAACACAGAAGACCTCACAAACATACTAATTCCAGTGAGGCATTTCAATCAGCTTCCTTTGAAACCTTGTGATTAAATTTCTACCTAGAATAAACCATGGCATTTTATTTCACCCCTTCTCTTCCTAGCACAAGTGAATGTAGAACGTGCTTTATTCTTAAAATCCTCAAGCGGATTTCTTTGAATAAAACATGTTTTCAGCCACTGCTGAACACCAACCTACTTCAGTTTATAGTTCATCCTCGTAGATTCATTAAGTATTTATGGTGGAAACATTCAGAAAAGAGAGAACTATATCAAAGCATTTTTGCATCTATGTGCCCTGCTATTTTTAAGCCAAATTTGTTGCATGTAGAGAACAGTTTGCAATAGAAATATTATTTTTTCTATCATTGTATTTTCTATTCTGCAGCTGTTAAGGCAGATTAATACAGTAATTCTAGTGGGAGCTGTATCAGCTGTGATGTTTAACATCAGAATTACAAGCTATACATGTTCCATTTCCCTTCATTATGGAAGCACTGCTGATTTTAATTGCAAAAAGATGTTCTAAAAAATAATAATTGGAAGAATTTTAAATTTATTTTGGTTTTGCAATAAAGTAAATAATATTAAAAAGGTGAAATACAAATGCCATTGTAAGTTGTGCAAATGTTAAGTCGTCATTTTTATGGTTAAGAAATATATGAATGTAAAAATGTTGAAGATATTGTACATATTTTCTGTAATATATGTATATTTGATCCTAAGGTGGGTGGAGAATTGTAAAAATTAAGCACTTTAATTCATGTTGAGTACCTAAAAAGAACAGAAATTTGTATCCTGTAAAATAAAAGCATCATTAAATAAGTATTGCTGGTTGACTAATTTTTTTTTGTCCACCTACCCATTTTGCTGCTAAAATCTTTAAGCTGTATTTCTTGTTGTGTGTGACAGTGAGGACCAGTTTTGAACACTGGTATCTAATTTGCTGAAGTGCTGGTTACTCACAAGTACTGCTAAGTTGGTGAAAGATGTATTCTGAGTTTATAAAGGGTGTATTTAATGCTATGACATCCTATAGGTGGGAAAGATAAATGACATCTGCACAGTTTGGTCCAGATTTCTGGAATGGGAATGTGACCAGGATGATATATGAGTTTTTTATGGATTTCTGTACTGCCATCCCCATAGAAAATGCAAAAATAAAGGAAATTGTTCTGCAGAGCCCCAAATCTTTCTTAGTATTGCTCAATACTAAATGATCAGCATGATCTCATGCACTGAACTAAAGTGGTGCTGCAAAGCAAAAAAGGATCAGGTAATTAGCTGGATGTGTCCTTTAACAGTCCAAACCTGGTTGCAGTTGCCTCTGATTTCCATCATCTGCACACATTAAACCTGTTTTGGTTGTGTCTGATTTATTCTTGGTATTCTTCTGCAGGTGGGCACAGTGTTGCAGAAAGCACAGAAACACAAAGCAGAGGAAAAGTTACTGTAGTACTTGGTTGTTCCTGATTGGAAAGAATTGCATACAAGAATTTTCGTTTCATTTCTAGATCTTCTTCTCTTTGCACACACC